TTTTCTACAACAAAGAGAACTTTACAATCTTGAACGGAATGCCCTGGTTTCCGTCTTTCTTCGAGTCCTGGAATACTATGATGGTGACAACGGCTCTTATAAACTGCAGGCAAAGGCGGCGGCTGACCTTCATCCTAGGAATTTTGATCTTGACAAGTAACCGTGTTGGCATCTTTGATGAGGCTTTCAAATCACGTATCCAACTGAGTTTGCGTTACAAGAGCCTGGATAGAAGCCAACGGCTACAGATCTGGATCAACTTTCTGAAGCGGTTGGAGCAACTCGAGAATGAGCGTCTCGATGCTGAGAGGCGGGGCGACAAAAAAGATGGCACGATGTTGGGTTATGGGATCAACATTGATGAGATAAAAGAAAGGTTGGAGGAATTGGCTGACGAAAGCATGAATGGTCGTCAAATTCGAAACACGATATCGACGGCACGCCAACTCGCCATGTATCAGCGCAAAAAGCTGAGTTACGAACATATTCAGGCTGTGATTGATGAGGCGAACAAGTTCGACGAGTACCTGCTGGAATTGAACAAGGGGTATTCAGCAGACGAGATACAGAGAGACAAGAAGGAGAGATAGGCACATATGGTGAGGCAGCGTCAACATAACATATAGTCTTGACAGCCTAAATAGCGCAACCTGTCCTCGTCTACCAGACGCTCTGCGGTCTAATTTTGCCCCGTCGGGAACACGAGCTCCTTTACGAATCATTGCTCCATAAATGAGAAGAAATTGCCATTGGAAAGAACAAGTAAGAAAGGATATATGGTTTGTAGTCTGCCGTATCATGATTCCTTAGCGTCATCTAGTTGCTTGAGCACATTTTGGACTTGTCGGACAAGTTCCTTTCGCCTTTGTCGAAGCTCATGGTCGCCCTGAGTGTCCACGCCGTCCAACTTCAAAAGGATTTGCTGCATGACGGATTCAGACAGCATCCTATGATCATCGTTACGTTTGTTATAATCCCTTGGAGGAGACTCAATATATCTCTGGCACCGAGGTAACCAGCGGGAATTGAATTCGTCAGTAAGATCCTTTATCTGTTTTGCCGCGGCACTGATAGCCTTGCGCAAGTCTGCGTCTGCGTCATCGCCATTTGAGTCGCTCTCAATGGGCTCAACGCTCAGTGCTGTATACTGAGTTCTCATGACTTTGTTCCCATGTTGCGCCAGAAGATCGGCCATACGCTGCTCCTCGCCTTGTATCCTGTCTTTTGAGATGGTGTTTCGATTTTGCACCCCAGCCATGCCTCGCGCTCCGTGAGATTGAGAGTTCCATGGAATACGCGGACCTGTCTGTATAGGGCTGGAGCTGATGGCAGGGCTCGGCGTAGAAGAAAATGGTGTCGCAGATGTGGTCTTACGCATACCAAAGTGTCGTTGATATGCAGAATCCATGGTGTAGCTCTAAGATGAGTAGTAGCTGGCCAAGCATCGCAATTATGCGATACTGGTAGCTATAACTCTGTGGTAGATGAATGCTCGATGTAGGTCACGATAAATGTCAGCATACATGTAGGGAAATATGTCATGCTGCGCCCCAATGTAAGAGGTGCGTGGGACAACTGATGTGCCGGCCTACCAATAGGAAGCTCAGCAAATTGACGGTCAGCAAACTCGCAGATCCATCCGCACATGCTCATTATGCAAGCTTCACTTACATCGCCTGCCTTTATACATATCGCAGAACCTGAATGACCACTCTTCAACTAGGAAGATATGTAGATATAACCCATAAAACTACATTATATGCATCAATGTTACTCATGTAAAAAAATTCCATTGGCTGTTGCCTTTCTCTTAAACTGAGACTTCTTTGACTTGGCCCGGGGGTGGTGGAGTTGAACAGGCCGCCGGAAGAAAGTTTGTAGAAAGACAGAGTCTTTGTTTGACTCAATGAAAGGCGTTATTGATATTAGTAAATTCCACTGACAACAGTTGTCACAGAGTCTGTGCTCTTGCTGTCCTTGGCTATCCTTAATTTTGTCAACCCAACAACACGCTCATTGTTGCACCGACCAGCACCAAGTCTGCCCTTTGCGGTGGAGAGAATGGCATTCAATCCTTTGTGCTTCGCTTTGTATACCAATCGTTTCTCAGTGTTGGCCCTTGCGACTGACTACATAGGTTTCATCGACTTGATGACGTGCTTCCATCTGTTTCTCAACCGCATTGACCGTCTTGAAATAAAAGGATGCGTTTGCGTCGCATGCACATTCCCACCCTTTCTCTTCAAACTTCATTTTCCACTCCTCTTCCTGTTTTCTTTAAGTAAAGGGGGATTTGGCAAATATTGTAACTACTATGGCAAATCTGAAAGCTGCCATCCTGTTATTCGCAGCCCTCTCTGGTGTATGGGCTGATGTAGATTTATGGCGGTAAGACCTCGACAACAAAAATACCCAATATTTAACAAGCAATCGTATACTAATGGAGTGTTCTACTAGTCCTCCCCAAGAATTATATGACAGACTTGCAATCGCTTTTTTTTCAGACAGCCAGGGTGACTCCTGCAAGGCCAAGGACATCAGCAGAGCCATAACTCTCACCACCCCTATCATCCCGGAGGCAAACACCTGCTTCAACATGAGTGACATTTTCTCCATGAACAGCAGTTCCGGTTTCCAAAAATCCAAGCAACAAAGTGGCGGGGATTCGGCACCTTGGGGCGTTAGTTGGAATCTCATCAACCAAGATCTTTACGACGAAAACGCAAATTACACGCACACTTGGGTCAGGATGGTAAACGAGCTCGTGCCGCAGGAAGGCAGGACAAGTCAGTGGTTCTATGAGCAATACACGCTACCTGATTGCCAGGACGTGCGCCTTGGTGATGAAAAGAGCGACGATGTGCCGTTTTACTGGATCAACTGCCAAACCGACAAGCACGGTGACTGCAAGACTGCGGCATATCCGATCGGGAGTTTTGCCGTTTGGGGAACACTAAATTATGATGTTCACGAAAGCAATGATAATTGCCTCAAGTGGACTGAGTTTGGAGCCGCGAGCATGGCGAGAATAAATGCCGGCTGGCTGATGGCGGCGTTGGTGATGGCTATACTGGTGGTGGTGTAAAGTTGTGGACAGAAGTTTGAGACGGATTTCACATACGAGGATAATTATATTAGATGATACATGGCAATAACTAGAGTTTCTTTGAGATAAGTACCTAACGCGATAATTCTCAGGCCTCTCCTCTCTATACACGCCCGAAATTAAAGCCACTGAGGATGGTTATGCATGCCTCATCGCTGCTTGTTGTTGCTGCTGCTGCTGGGATGCAAGTAGAAGAGCCTCTGTTGAGCCCTGATCGCCTGTGGATCGTAGACCTATGATGCAAGACGGCGAGTAAGTGCCTTGACACTGCTAGTACTACTATGTATAAAAGTAACTTACGACTTCAGGATTCGACTCAGCGGCAATCCGATGCCTGAATTGGTGAAGCTGCTCAGGGCTGAGTAGCCTGAACGGACTTTCCTTGACTCTAGTTGCACCCATGTCTTGAAATTGTTGGGCAAGCATGGCTAGTCGCCAGTATCGTTCATCAATAATCGGCTGTTCTTGAAGAATATACCTTTTGGCGCTTAGGTTATTCATATTAATGGATCTAGGCCTATGTTACTTCCAAGAGATCTCTTCAGGTTCCTTCGCACTCTCACTTACACTGCTGTTGCTGCGATGCTACATCAGCCGCCGTTGCATCCCTTGTATCATTCGTTGTTGTTGTTGGGGAGTCATGCCTGCGCCTTTTGAAGCAATGCTACCGCCATTCAATTTGGCTTTCTGCAGAGCGGCAGCCACCATCTCCTGTTGCTGTTGCTGTTGCTGTTGATGCCGCTGCAGCATCATTTCCCGTTGCAAATGATGCAACATTTGCTGTTGCCGTTGAGGAGTCATGCCTGCGCTTTGTGCAACAATGTCAATGCCATTAAAGTTGCCATTCGGCACAGCGGCGGCCACCATCTGCTGTTGCTGTTGCTGCTGTTGGAGCATCTGCTGCTGTTGCGCAGGATTTGGCTGATGGACCGCGTACAGGCCAGGGCTGGCGCTGGGCGGTATAGCGAGGGAGCCACCTGGGCCAAGGTCAGTTATGCGTGCCTTGTCGTTCTCTATTTTAATTTCTGAAGTCCCACTTCGCATCTGCCTGTACTCAAAGGGCTTATCGCTTTGCGTCAAGTCTTTCGATATTGTGTTCCGATTCCTCAATGCGAGCGCGCATAGCTCATTGCTCTGTGTCGAGTCTTTTGAGATGGTGTTCCGATTCCATACCTCTGTTATGCCCCGTGCTTTATGCAGCTGAGAGGTCGATCGGCTGCCCGACCCTGCCCGCTTGAAATTTTTGAAATTGGAGGATGGCGTTGTAGGGAGCTGGGAGGCATCCTGTCGGGGATCTCTAGAGTCCATAGATGGGGTTTAGGATATCGTTTACCGAGTGTCGCAAGCTGGATAAGTTTTGATAGATGCTCTGTTCAGATCGATTAGGTATCGGTGTAGCTTCCTATCAGCACACATGAAGGAAATATTGCTGTGAAACAACGTATGAGGTGCCGGTCTTGGAACAACATATGTGCCGACCTACCAATAAAAATCACAAGCAGAGCAGAGCCGAAGTGAGCATTTCACATACAAGAAGAATTAGATTAGCTGGTACATGGCAATAACAAGACTTTTTGGGGGGATGAATTACGGCGTTATTGCGGAAACTCTAGGTTGCTTTAGAGGCGCATATGATTCTCCTGTAGACAGCTGAATTGATGTGAATAGCACGCAACGGCAAGCTACATGTGTACCAAGTACATGCAATAACATGGGTCAAATACAGGTAGGCTTGATTCACTTCACGACATCCATCTCTATTATGGTGATTGCCATCCAGTCGAAGCAATTCCAGTCCCATGTACTTAGGCTCAATCCTTATCCACCCTCAGTTCCCACACAATCCTTCATGATCCTCCTAGGAATCGCCTCATCGCCAACCACACCAAACACAGGCTTCATGGTCTAGTGGTATGATTCCTGCTTCGGGAAAAACAAACCTGGAGTCCCCGGTTCTCTAGAATCGCCTTTGCAGGAGGCCCCGGGTTCGAATCCCGGTGAAGCCCTATCTTTTGCTGCTCTGAGCAACTGTATCCCCTTCCTTTCTTTTTTCTAGGCAGATGATGTGTCTTGAGAGCTTGAATGTTGGTTCTCCAAGGATGAGTGGCGATTGTTGGTGTTTACTTTTTTATTCCTCGCACGTTGCAAGCATCTTTCTGTTTGGGGCGTTTGCTCAGTGCTACTTTGCCGCCACTTGTACTGTACGTACAGCTCCAGGTCCCAATTTCGGGTAAAAGTGGACGACCTCGGGAACCCGAATTGGGCATTTGGATCTCCCCGTTTAGTCAATTCAAAACACCAACATTGATATCACGGTCTACACCTACATCTACATCTACATATCCGTCCTCACACTCAATGTTATATCGCGATATTTCTTGTCGCTAAATCAATCCCTTTCAAAAATGCCTCAACCAAACGAAACAACAGTCACTCCCCTCTCCCTGACGCCCCTCAATCGCGTCCTCAGCCCTCCCCTAGGCCTCATCCCCCCCAACACGCCCCCCAGCCTCTACGCCTCCTCCGTCTCCCACTTCCTCTCCATCCCCTGGTGCGCATGCCTCATCCAGACGCCCAACACAATCCCCTTTATCCCGCAATGCTTCAACCCCCAGAGCCCAGCCCACGACCAGCTCGTCGGCTCTACTCTCTCTGGCCCGCGAGGCCTACAGCACATGCTCAGCTTCTTCCACACAGAGGACGAAGCGCATTTACAGGATCATGAGCGTCCAATCATGCACGTGAGCTCGCTTTTCGCGCTGGGCCAGGGGCTTTCTGGGTATGAAGGCGTGTTGCACGGGGGCATGATGATGACTATGGTGGATGAGGCGATGGGGGTGCTGCACGAGATTAACATGGCGCTGGGCAAGACAGGCCAGGTGTTTGGGACTGCGAGCGTCACGGCTGGGCTTGATATCAAGTTCTTGAAGCCGGGTCCGATCAATCAGACGGTATTGGTGAATGCGTGGGTGGACGGCGTGGAGGGCAGGAAGACGAGGATCAAGTGCGAGGTCAGAGATGGGAATGGAGTTGAGCTGGCACGATGCTCGAGCACGTGGGTTTCAGTCAGGCCCAGGATGTGAGATTTTCACGAGGACATTGAGGCAACGAGAGGCATAATTAGGAAATTCGTTGGGTTCGGACATTACACTATCGGCGACGACAACGCGTTATAACGACAAATTGAAGGAAAGAGTGGTATCATATCATATCCATACAGTCATAGAGATTCTCGGACACTTCTTTTTTATCTCCCCCCGTCCTCCTCTTTTTTTGATCACTCCTCCTTTTTCTCGCGATGTGGCAGCATCACTTCCACAGCCGCCTTGAGATGTTCCTGATCGGGGTTCCTCAGCGCCGAGTGCGCCGTCTCTAATTTGCTCTTCCTGCCCGACTCCCAGCTCTCGTTGCGCTCGTTCAGCTCGCTCTCCACAGAGCTGAAGCTGTCGGTGCTGCTGTTCATGACCACCTGCATGATCTTGCCCTCGCTCTTCTTGATGGAACGTTGCTCGTCCTTGAGCTTCTGCAGGCGCTCATCTTCAACGTTCATGACGACGATGCCCAAACCAGGAAAGTTCTTCTCCAGGAACTTCTTGAGATCTGGCAGAATGGATTTGTCAGGGCGATATGTTCCAGATTCGTTATCAATGAAGAGCTGGTAGAATGCGGGGTTTGGAGGTGGTGGCTGGTTTGGCGGGCCTCCAGGGAGAGGCTCGGACGGGTGTGTCTTTTCCTGAGGCTCGGGGCTATCATTGGAATCTGGGTGTTGCAGCCTTCGAATGAAGAACTCTCCTGAGCAAGCAATGTATTTCTCGGCATCTGCGTGCATGGTATGCTTGCTCAGGAAGTCGATGCCGAATTCCTTGCCCGTCTCGGTGAAGCGAAGCAGGCCGTCCAGCGTGAGTACGTAGGTAAAGATACGGCCGCCCTCGTCGAAATGAGCCATCCTTAGGAACTGAAGAGATGCTTGCTTAGAGCACGCCTCAAAAGTGCCATATTCAGTGGAGCCGCTGTAATTGTAGATCCTGTGGTGCTGTTTGTGCAGGGCCTTATTCAATATGGTGCCACGAATACCAGTGGATGAAAAGAGCGAGCCAATAACTGGTCTAAATTCCACGTAGCGATGGTAGAGGACCGCTGGGACAGGTCCCTGGAGTTGTAGTTCGTTGGCTTGGAAGCTAGATATCAAAACGTCAGTCAACGATTCTTTCAACAAGTTGGGCATAAGCGCGCAAATATCTTGCAGTATGGAGTTAACTTACTCATACTTGGTAGACTTTGGGCTATCGTCGTTCGAGTGATGCCCCTTTTCATCGTCACTCTCGTTGGCATTCACCTTTGCGCCGATCAGACGACCAATCATGGGACTGTTGTGCTTGATCCATCTAGTCGGGGCCAGGGTGCACATTTGCGCATACGGAGGGTCTGACTTGCCCAAGACTTCCATGCTGATTCTCAGCCGAGGAGCAATGTGGCTTCCATGCACAATGGCACTAGCGATTCCTTTGAGGATAAAGGCACGTTTGCTCATGACACGCTTCTTGGCCTCAAACTCCTGGCCTGGAGGGGGGATCCCCGGCCAGTCATCAGAGATGGAGTCCACGTTGATGGTGACATTGCCGAGTCTATCGTCCTTGTCGGCAACATCCTCATCGTACATTCTGCACTTGAGAGTGAAGCCGGTAGGGGGCACATTGGAGACAACCCATTCTTCTTCCCATTTGGGCTCAGTAGTTGTGTGTAGAGTTCGTGTCCTGTACTTTAAGTCGGGATCCTCCTTGTGACGCTTCGGCTGCGTTCCCTTGAGAGTTGCAATCAAGAAAGGGTCTGAAGATCCCGTGTGAAAATCCGCAATCGGAATGTTGGTCGCGGCATGAAAAACGAAGCGGACAGTGTATCCTTGAGGCGCATCAGGGAGTGGAGTCTTGTCAAAGCCACCGGGAGGCCCCTTGTGTTCGTGTTCATCGTGTTCTTCGTGATGATGTTCATGTTCATGATGGCCACTGTCGCTCGACTCGGGCGTGGAGTCGTCGTGATGAGTGGTGATGTTTCCCGGCATGATGAGCGAATGAATGAATAAGCAAACAGACGATCAAACACCAAGTCTAGAAATGGAAAATGAAGCTCCAAGCGGGAGTATCGTGATGAGCAAGGCTGCCAAGACTCGAGTATCCGCGCTCAGCCTCACGAAAATGGCGAAATGACGTTGTGAGGGGTCGCCTGGTGGTTTTGTACTTGCAACTCCAACTGGTAGGGCTAGAGCCGATCAGTCGTAGGTAGGGAAAAAAGGCCTCCAACAAATGGAACCAGGAGATGAATAAATAGCACGAGCTAAGCCAACTGAGGTGAGGCAGAGAGGTCAGCACATCAGCATTCCGAAGCTGTACAATATTGGCAGTAATATTGGCAGTAATACAAAAAATATCACCAAAAGCGGGATGTGCAAGGGTCAAAAATAGGAATTCGAAAAGGTACAGCCCAGGACAAGACGCATGGACTGTAACGGGCAGAAAAACGCCTTGCGCATCGCCTCTGTCACCTGCGTGCCAAATATGCGAACCGCTGCAGGCCACAGATCTAGAACCGCGTCTGTTAGTCTCATCCACTTGATTCTTTTCCCTTGCCAAGATCATCGTCAGGGAAATCGCCCACTTACGTCACGGCGCCTTGCCGATTATCCGAGATATGTTGTAACAAAATCCGCAACAAGTTTCTTTTTCTTGGTGTTTGCTTGTGTAAAGTACCTAATATGATCCCTGTCGAAGTCTTTTTGTTTGTTTCGTCCCGCCCAGACCATCGGGAACCATTTACTCTCCGATAAGGCTCTCCCCATAGCTGATGTCATCTCTCATATAAATCAGATGCTCGGCTGAGCTCATGCAGCAGCACAACACAGCACAGCATTGGAGTGGTGGACAAGCACTCAATGCGCTAAGGGATGGATGATGTGCCACTAAAAGATGCCAAGTCAAGTCTCTATCCGCAGGGCGCTAGGGCGTTTCTCTTGGCGGAGCTGTCACCTAAAACATTGGGGGGGTGTAACGGCGATATCCGGGCGGGAATCTGGAACCTCGTAGACAATTGACAGTTAGTTGGCATGTGCTTCATGCTATTAACACAGCCCGATATAGTTGCAGCTAAGATAAATACGAGATAGATAATGCAATAGGGCTGTAAGATTATCGAAAGAGTTGCTTTCACTTCTCCTATTGCTTGATGTTGATACAGCTTGTCTGCTTCCATGTCCGTTCCAAGTCAAAGTCATGTCGGTCGCATCGTGACCCGCTGAATCTAAGCTTCTACTCCTGCCAAGAGCCAGCACTGCCACTTCGCCAAGATTGTGTTACTTGAAAAGTATTGGCCTTTTGCCCGCCAAGAGAGGTATTTCCAAGACATGTATAATAATCACTCGATAACAATTCTCTATTTACCTTTGGAGAAATCAATACAGAGTGGTCTTATAAACTAGAGTGTCTATTGGAGTTTGCATAATATTGCTGCTGTGGCAACGCCAATTTCCTTCCATTCTTCCACAGCCTCGTTTATCCACCCAAGCAAGGCTGCGGCAAGGCTTGAAAATGCTGTGAAATTTACAACGCGTCCGGCGGATAAAAGGAAAGCTTCCAAAGTAATCCATCACTTCTGTCCTAAAAATCACTTCCTCATATCCTCACATTCAACGACAATTTCAATACCCCGCGAGTCAATACTTGGAGTTGATTTTTGGAATCCTCTGGGGCTACAGATTGCAAACTCATACACATGTTCCCGAAACCCTTCAACCTATAAGCCCATTCCGTATATCAACTCATGAATAATGTCAGCCCACCCATCCAGCCCTGTGACATAATGTTCCATCCATCCAGCGTCGTTCAAAAGCAAATATCCACTACTCTGATTCAAGCCAATTCGTAAGATACCTGCGACAATGATCGATGCACGTCAAAGCACGTATCATTTACTTCTTGGACGTCTGGGGGACCTGCAGAGAGGTCGAGCGAGAGGT